TGAAATTGGTGTTTCCACAGAAGGAAAGTCAGTTACATCACTACCAGACTGTCTAGGATTTACGAACTTATCAGTTACCTGTAGTTTACAAATAGTTGCAAAATGGCTCCAAGCTGATAAAGAAGGGTGGGATTTGAAAACCTGGAAAGCTGTGCTGTGGACAATGCAGAATTTTCCATTGAAACATATTTTTCTGTAGAAACCAGAACCCAACTGAACCTTCACTTGAGTTTTGCTTTCCACTGTGTTTCTCTTTTGCTTTTGGCCTTGAGGCCACATTAATGTCTTTTCAGAGCATGGAGCAGAGGAGGCTCTTATGTGTGTACTTACCCACCATCTTGAGTGGAAATTGCATCTTTAATTAATAATGAAGACATCTGATCTAAAATACAATATAGAGCAGAGCATGGTGGTGCATGCCTGTACTCCTGGTGACTCAGGAGGCTGAGGCAGAAGGACAACAAGTTTGAGACCAGCCTTGGCAACTTAGTGAGACCCTATCTCAAAATAAAACATAGAAAGGGCTGGGAAGATAGTTGATAAAGTGCCCTTGAGTTCAGTTCCCCAGTATAAAATTTATTTATTTATTTATTCCCAAAAATACATAAATAAATAAATTTTAAGAATATGATATAGATCTAGAAGCCAATCAAAATCTTAGTCATTGGCCCCAACATGTGACCGTTATACATCTCTCTACTAATGCCTCTGTCAGCCTAAAATGAATGACAGACCAACTGACTCTCCAAAGCAAAGAGTATTTGGGATTGAAAGGCATGGCAATCCAGGATACACATGCTGTGGCAGACCAAGGGAGTTGGGGCAAAAGGGGCACTCTTTTTAAAGACAAAAAGGAGAAATATACACAGGCCATTTTGAAACAAAGACCTTTAGTTGCAGGGGCTTGTTGCAAGAATCAGGGTCAGCTCATTGATAGAGATGGCCATTGTCAGGCAAGTGTCCTTGTCAAAGTAGCTCATGTGGGATTCTGCAGTTTCAAGGAGTTCCTTACACAGTTTTCATCATAGGCATATGTGTGTGGCAACCCTTCCTGGCCTCTGGCTCCATTTTGTTTGGAGTTGACATAAATGACTTGGTACTAAAAATTCTCACACCTGTCTTCCTTTACAGTGAAGCTCAAAGAGATTTTTTTTGGTGCTGATAACGCCAAGGTCGCGGGTTCGTTCACCGTACGGGCCACCAAATGCCGCAGTCTGGCTGGGCACAATCAGGAGCCACTTGTCAAAAGAAACTAACTTTATTTTTAGAACCACACACGCCAAACAAAACATCCTCTCAGGAAAAACCCTCAGAGCCTCAACTGCCACCACCGGCTTTCCACAAGCCTCTCTCTCCCACACCAGCTTCTCTCCACCTCCCACAATCCTCCTGCTCTTGAGGCCGATTGGCTGGGTCACGTGGGCGGAGCCAAAAAAGTCCCCCAATGAGCAGCTCCGTGGTCTGAAAGGGCAGGGAAACAGCCCAATGAGCATCACCGCAGAGGAGCCAATCAGCTAGATGTTGCTGGGGCCGAGGAGCCAATCAGCTAGATGTTGCTGGGGCCGCTGTGAGCCAATCATCAGCCAGCAGCTGGAAGTTTGCTGGGGCCCCTTTGGCTGTGGCTCTCAACAGTCTTCCTTTACAGTGAAGCTCAAAGAGATTTTTTTCCACATTAATATTTTCCTTTCCACCTTCTTCTAATGATAGCCCTGGCTCACTTTTGCATTGCCAAACGTATTCTCTTCTTTTTCTTACAACCCATATCTTCCTGAGCCCACCTCTGCCTATCAAGGATCACAACCACTGGGGTATCTTGAAGTCGGGTTTCCAGCCTGGTTCTGACTGCAAAACCTATGTTCTTTACAAGGACCATCATCAAATACAGAAGGAAGAAATGACATTAAAGTTGGATTTTGAAAGAAGGACAGGATTTTGTTAGGCAGGATTGGACAGAGAGTCACTTTAACAAGTCAATGGATAAGTAGTTCATTTGGCTGGGGCCCAGGTTCCTGCACTAAGTGCCTTTGAGGACACAGACAAAGGTTTGGAGGTAATTGACCCATGATGTACCTGCTGGACTCATAAACTGTACTTGGTACTTAGTACTTTGTTTCATTTTGTCTTTATATCAGCTTTGTAAGAGAGACACTATTATTTTCATTGCTAACTGAATCTTTGATTCCCCAAAATTCATATGTGAAACTAGTGGCCTTAGGAGTTGAGACTTTTGGGAGTTGATTGGGTCATGAAGTCATAGCCCTTGTGAATGAGATTAGGGCCCTTATAAAAGAGCCCCAGAGAGTTTCCAAGTGCCTTCCACCATGGGAGGACACAGAAGGCACCATCTGTGAACTGAAAAGAGGCCCTTACCAGACATTGAATCTGCCAGTACCTTGATCTTTGCCTTCCCAACCTCCAGGACAGTGAGAAATAAATTTTTGTTTCACATGAGCCACCCAGTTTATGACATGCTATGATAAAATAGTAGGCTACATAGACTGAAACACCCATTCAATTCCTTGAGAAAACAGAATCACAAAGAGGTCAAATAACTTATCTGTGACCTCTCAGAAGTTTAGTGGCTGAATTGAGTTTAGAACCTGCCATGTCAATTCTAACATCACAGTTCTTTCTACTTTATGTAAGTAGAAAAAAGGCTAAGGGATTTTAAGTTCAGCTGTGAAATGATTAGAATTTTCTTTAGCAAAGATATATGATAAAAGAGAAGCTGAGTCATCTTTGGCTCTGATATCTGGATACCTGCCGCAGTCTGGCTGGGCACAAAATCACGAGCCACCACACACCTTGTAGATTCAAACAGCAACTCATTATTCTCGAACTGTCACCGGCACTTTACACACACGTTCTGGGCAAATCCACGTTCTGGGCCAAATCCACACACTCCACCGGGCTCTGAATCCCAAATAACTCTCTGAATCCCGTGAGAACTCAATGGGAACTAAGGAGCGGGGGCGCCTGAGGCAGCAGGATACGCCCTATTCCCAGCAGGGTACACCTTAAACCTGGAACCGCCCTAAACCCAAGGAGCGGGATACTCCCTAATCCCAGCAGGATACACCCTAAACCTGGATCCACCCTGGTCCTTGAGCAAGGTCACCTTACATGCAATGTCACTGCAAATGACCTGGGTCATGCCATGCGTCATACCTACTTGGCAATGGCTCTCAGCAGATACCATTTGAAGGCAGCAGCTGTTGACCAGGCACTACAATCTGGAATTCAAAATTCTAATCCACACAGAAATTTAGCATAGTGCCCTGAAGGGTGTGGAGGGTCTACCACATCCCAGCTACTCAAAGCGTGGTTCTTACACTTAAAACTTCAGTATAACCTTGGAGCTTATTTTAAAAAATTGCAGATATTCACATCCCTACATCAGACCTATTAGAGGGAAAAAAAATCCCTGAGATTGGGGCCTAGGTATCTGTTTCTTTAACAAGACCTCCATGTGATTCTTAAGACATGCAAAATCTTGAGAAAGCCCTGCTATTTTTTCTGGCCACTGTGCCTTCTTTCATCATTTTCTGGTTGTCAGGTAGAGCCTTTTAAAATGACTTCCTCAATAGTAACCAAGAAACATCACTAGCACAGTAAAAGCTGAGTACTACTGTGATTAGGAAAGAGAGATCATTAGCATCCAAGAACATGATACGCACTGTCTTTAGCATTATTCAGACTCTAGCATAGGATTTAATGCATGTAAAGGTGGTAATGTACAGAAAGAAGTCTGAAAGGATATGTACCAAACCACTAACTAAAAGTGACTACCTCTGGGGAAAAAGCTGTGGGATTGTGGAGAAGTAAAGGGAGGGGCTTTAATTTTATATCACCCCCCCTAATGTTTCTGTATTTGACTTTTATACATGCATAATCATTTATATAATTAAACTTTTTTTAATCTCAATAATTAATTCTGATATGTTTTCAAAACATTTCTCTGTTTTATGTGGTTTCACTAAAAGTAAGATTATCACAATACTCATAATCCAAACTTGGAGACTTCTTATGTATATTTATTTATTGGGAGCTGCATCTATTTTAAGAAGTAATCAGCTTTTTTCTTTCTCATCTTGGTAGTGAGTTATAATTTTAGAAATAAAATTCAAATTAACAGTCTTAAATTAATGTGACAGATGATGTTTTGCTGCAACTAATTGCCTATGATGCATTTAATACTAGAAATATGTATTTGAATGTTTTGTTTGATGTACTAATCAGACTCTTGATTTTGAACATAATGAAACATCATTTGAGTCAGTACCATTATCTTTTTTATTTTTGTTAATAGTGTATATACCCTGTTTTTAGTCAAATTTTTTTTCTGCTGTGATCAAAAGACTTGAAAAAACAGTTTTAGAGGAGAAAAAGGTTATTTGACAATCATGGTTTCAGAGTTCTCAGTCCATAGATGACCAGCTCTATTGCTCTGGGCCCAAGGTGAGGCAGAACATCGTGGTGGAAGAAGAAAGCAGCTTAGGGCATGGCCACCAGGAAACAGTATATTCTACTCTCCAGAGACAAAAAATGTATCCCAGAGGCACATCCCCAAAGACCAGCCTCCTCCAGCCAAACCTGTCTGCCTACATTTACCACCCAGTTAATCCATATCAGTAGATTAATGTACTGATTTGGTTAAGGCTCTCATAACCCAATTATTTCTCCTCTAAACCTTCTTACATTGTCTCACACATGAGCTTTTTAATTTTTTATTTTGAGACACTGCCTTTTTAAGTTGCTTATGACCTCACTAAGTTGCTTAGGCTGATTTTGAACTTGTGATCCTGCCTCAAGCCTCCTAAGCCTTTGGAATTACAGGCATGTGCACCATACCCAGCTTTCTCAATGAAAGTTTTACCTGGGCATATTTAGGAAATTGAATTTTTTATTGTGCTTATCATATAAGATTAAAATGATTTCCTAATAAAGACACTTATTTCAGCTTTCCAACTTTTTAAAAAAGAAAATAATCTTTCCTACAGGTTTTTTGTGTGAAGATGCATGAAAATCTGAACTCCTACCCACGGTGCCTTTATAGCACAGCAGAGCCACCTGATGGTAAGCTTTCCTCTCACTCTCTGACTCATTAACTGATTTCCATTCCTTCAAATAAAGCGGGAGTGGAGAGGTTTGAGCAAAATGGACTTTTCCTGCACCTGTCCCACTACCACTAGGTTCTGTTCCCATAATGTCTCCAGTGATGTCTTTTGGCAGATCGACACTCCAGCAATCAGGAGTTACAGATGAGTGGGAAAGTTTCTGCTCTTGAAAACTTAACTCTGCCTGTGTAATGTGAAGACATTAAGCAGGTCATTACAGTCCAGTGTGGTACAAGGTACTGCGAGGTGTTACAGAACGGTGGGGCCTGTGTAGACTGTAGGACATTGAAGGTGCTATCCCAGCAAGGCACAACTTTATGGGAATTCAGAGACTTTCTTCCATCTTCCTTTCATTTTTTTCTCTCCCCCACTCTACCCAACACCCACACCCACCCACCCCCCAACTGGGGATGGAACTCAGGGTCTCACACTTGCTAAACAAGTGCCTTGCCACTCAGCACCATCCCCAGCCCAAATTCAGACAAATTATATATTTAAGTATTCCCTTTAGAATTCTTTAATTTTAAAGTTCTTTTTAAAAGTCTATTTTATGAATTCCTCTATTTTCATCTTTTTTTTTTCCTCAACAGAAATTACAGTTCATTATAGACACGGTCTTCCCTTGATAATACTGACTTTGCCATCCAGAAGAGAGCGCTGTCAATTCGTAGTCAGACCGATGTTGTCAACAGTTGGTTCGTTCCTTCAGGACATACAAAATGAAGACAAAGGTGTCAAAACTGCAGCTGTCTTCACAGCAGGTAGATACATGTTTGTTTTGCAACTTTATCCAAAGGCTTCTCTCTATTCTCTGAGACTTTGTTTTGGTTCTTTACTTTTCTAGACAGAATTCCATTATTTAATTCATTATATAATAGGTGGTTAGCCTTTACTGAGTCCTTTATTATTACATATCCTAACTATTTTAAAATGTAACTTCAGTGAATGTAAAAAAAAAAAAAACCATGGAATAAGTTTCATGTAAATTTAGGTACTTCATAAACTTAACCTGAAATTTTTTTCTCTTGAAAAAATTCTAGTAATTTAAATTTTAAATTTTCAGTAAAATTTGAACAATTAGGATGAAATGTAGTTTCAGTGATTAAAATAGCTAGTGAATAAAAATACACAAATAGCATATTTATCTTTATTATAAAGCAATTATAGCCTAGTATTTGTTTTGTTTGGGGGTTTTATTGTTTTTAGGAACTGAGGATTGAACCCAGAGATGCTTTAACACTTCCCTACATCCTTAGCCCTTTTTTTTTTTTTTTTTGAGACAAGGTCTCCCTAAGTTGTTAGCTAGCCTTGAACTTGTGACTCACCTGCTTGTGATCCTCATATCTCAGCCTCCAGGTTGCTGGAATTACAGGCATGCACTGCCACATCCCAGCTCAGCCTAGTTTGTTGTTGTTGTAGATGGAAAGAATACTTTTATTTTATTTACTTATCTTTATGTGGTGCTGAGGATCTAACCCAGTGCTTCACATATTTGAGGTGAGTACTCTACCACTGAGCTACAGCCCTGTAGTATGTTTTTTGATAAAATTCATTCTGAGGGAAAAACTATACATATATATTTTAATACTAGGAGAAGTGATTTGTTATTTAGACTTTTTAAATTTCAGCTGTGGCTGTTACATTCTCATGGTTTGAAATGATCTTAGACCAGCTGCCTAAAATAAAGAATAATTGCCCCAGTCCAACTTTGAGAGGTACAGATATAAATGAGTTAACTAATCTGCAGCTATTTTATTTTATTTATTTATTTTGGGGTGGCTTACCAGAGCTTTAATTCAGGGGCACTCAACTACTAAGCCACATCCCCAGCCCTATTTTGTGTTTTGTTTAGAGACAGGGTCTTACTGAGTTGCTTAGAGCCTTGCTTTTGCTGAGGCTGGCTTTGAACTCAACACCCTCCTGCCTCAGCCTCATGAGCAACTGGGATAATAGGCATGTACCACTGCTCCTAGCTTGCAGCTGTTTTATTATAATATTAAATACTTAGTGTAAACTTATTTAAAAATTAGATCACTGTTGCAGTTTAGATAGAAAACAAGAGAGTTAAAAACTCCTGCCCTTTGGAGCTTGCATTTTAGGAGAAGAAAGAAATAACATAAAGCAATAAATTATATATTATACTAAATAATTGTAATGGAGAGAGAAAAGTAGGGGGTGGGAGTGCAGGAGGGTGGGGGGTCTTACAAGGTCACGTCTGAGTGAAGACTGGCAAATGAGGAGCCTTGCAGATGAGTGGAGAGTTCTGAAGGGGAGACCTTGAGGTAGGAGCAGACTCCTCCTTGGCTCTAAGGAGGGAGCTGGGTGGAAGGAGAAGGGTTGGGAAAGGCTTGTCAGTTGTTGTAAGGACTTTAGATTTAAGTGGATGGGGAGCTTTCTGCCTGCTAAAACATGGATCAGAAAGTAAGTTTTTTAGCCTTGTGGCCACAGTGAACTTCTCAGTACTTCATTCCTATACTAGACAGATCCACTCCCCCAACCACCCAGCCCCAGCCCTGGTGTTCCCGTGCTTTCCCTGCAGGGTAGGCTTGCCTTCCTGAGCTTCCAGGGACAGGCAGATGCACACCTAAAACTCAGATGGGGTTGGCTCTGAGCAGTGCTTACCTGGTGATAGGTACTTGATAAGTATTTGTTAAATGAATGAAATGAGAGGTAAAAATAATGAACCATGTTTACCCTGATTTGTTCCAGAAATTAATTTGAATACCTTTGAAAGCAGAGACTTTAAGACTTTTCTCTAAGAGATTGAGGAAAAGGGGGCTCTTTGGATCTAGAGAAAACACATTATTGGAGATTTAAGTGGATAATGCCCAAGAATATATGAAAAATTTGATACTGTCATTAGCTTCTTAAAAATGTTTCTTGTCAATCTTGTGCTGTCTTACGTTTGCATAAAGGATAATGTAGTAACTCATTTGAGAAACCATATTCAGTTGATTTCTTTTTATAGAAATATTTTCAGAAACTGGTTTAAATGTAAAATTTAGATATAAATTTTTAAATGACACTTGGAAAGTCAGATAAAACAATTAGTGTGTTACTTTTTTTTTTTTAAGAGACTCTGTGGGTGGAATTTGCTTGTGTTTAATTTGGGCTTGAAAAGAGTGTTCTGAGCCTGTCACAGTTTTGCCCATTGTGTGGGCTGCATTATTTGGCAATTCTTATGAAAATGATCTCACTCCAACTGATGAACAGGAACCCAAACAGCCAAATTCTAGAAACCGACCCAGGTGTAGACTTGACATGCTGCCTTATAGAACAAAAGAACCACAGAGAGTCAGATAGGAGGCAGGCAATCAGGTTCGTCCTGATTTTACTAGCAGCGTTTGTGCTGGTACACATATTAATGTTGCTGAAATAGTTGTGGTTGAATGCAGCCAAGCAAACATCTGGCCAGGATAAAATATCCATCCAGCATTTTCCTGCACTTTATTATATGTAATGTAGTATATGTGGACTGTTCTGTAGGAAAAAAATGGTAGAAAGAGAAGTCTCTACCCAGCACCAGTTTTCTGCTTATTGCTCAATGAATTTGCTTTCTTAACACCTGAGTTGCACTAAAGCTTAGTTAAAAAATAAATAAAATAAAATAAAGATTGGCTATATGAGAAGCTGTGCAAAAGCACATTGAGGTTAAAAATTTCCAAGATTTTTTTTTTCTGAAATGTCCCTAGTGCTAAACTAAAAACTTTTGAGACCAAGAGATTTCTAAAATAAAAGTGTTTATTAAGTTGATGCAGATGCTTGCCAGAAAAAAGGACCAGATTCTAGGACAGATTTCCGTAAGTACCAGCAGTAAAGCTAAGAGAGTGGTTGGAAAAGTGTCTGCTGAACCTGGAACTAAGAATATTTTTATAATAAAAATTTGGAGAGGAAGTTTAAGTTGTTTAAGTTGAACCAACATTGACTGTAGAAAAGGGAGTAGGATAATATGTGGTAGCTGTAGGTAGTCAACTGTAATAGGATTTAAATCAAGGTTTTAATATATGTTCAAGAATATGAAAATCTTTCATTGGTTTCACCTGCTGCTGTTAACAGCTCCTCCAACCCTAGGAGTGCTCTGAGTCACATCCCCAGCCCTTTTTAGTTTTCATTTTGAGATGCTGTCTTGCTAAACTGCTAAGGCTGGCCTCAAATTTGCCATCCTCCTGTCTCAGCTTCCCAGGTAGCTGGGAATATAGTCAAGAGCCACCACACCCAGTGGTTTTGTCTATTTATCGCATGTGGAAAACAGTGTGGGGAAAACAGACCAAGATTGCCCAGGAGCAAACTGGAGGCTGTACCTCAAGGTGGCCACAAGGAGATCAAGCTGAATCTGTACACACCCATTAGATATTGCCTCTTCTACCTCCCCAGTCCTACCGAGAGTTCCAACCTCCCCTGAATCTTTGCATGAACTTTGCTGAGACAGTTTCAACCAAGGACATTAACCTGGGCTCCAATCCAACTGGTACAGTGGGAGAAGAGCGCCTGCCTGTTTCTTTTGGTTCTATGAAATGAGAGCTGAAGCAAAGGAGAAGTTCCCTCAGTGACAATAGTGTGAGTTTAGGGGCGTCATCCAAAAGGCAGATGTGTCCACTACTATATTGTAAAAACCTGAGTGAGTTGTTTTTTGTGTGTTGGGAAATGGTTCTTGTTGTTCTAAAACAAAAACTTATTTTTGCGTTATGCCTTCCCTTTCAGATGGCAATGAGATTCCAGCCTCAACTTTGATGGATGTTTTGCTAATGAAAGATTTTAAGCTAGTCATTAACAAGACAGAATATGATGTACAGTGTCCTCAGAATGGTAAGAAACACAGTTCTCCAGCTACCTTAACTTTTCCCTTTAGCTTTGACTTTTACAAGGTACTAAGCAGAACTTGTTAAAGACAGAATTCTTGCTAGTGATATAGCTCAGGGTAAAGTGCTTGCCTAACAGGCATGGGCCCCAGGTTCAATCCCCAGGACTGCAAACAAACAAACAAAACCCAGAATTCCCTGAGGTATTCCACAATGGTGACTTTTCTCTTGCCTTAAGCTGGATAGTTTTTCTCTGATGTTTTACTGTGAGAATCTGGTAATGCTCCTACAGGTAAAACTCACAAAAATGTGGGCATGACCTCCAAGACTGGGCCTGTTGAGTTTTTAAATCTCAAAAGAGTTGTTTACACTGAGGCTCCAGAAGTTTTTCAGTTATAGTCAGGTGTTTCTACTCTGGTATCAGTTCTTTGCAGATTTCTGCTCATGGGTTTCTGTTCTCCCATGCTGTGGTTCTCTGTATCTACCTCTCTTCTCAATTTGGGGGACAGTGGTTTGTCTTGCAACCTCAGTTCTCAGTTTTGTGTGAGTGTGTGGCAGGGGGTGCTGGGGATTGAACATAGGAGAACTCTACCAGTGAGCCATATCCCTACCCCTTTTTATTTTTTGAGACAGGGTCTTGTTGAGTTGCTGAAGCTTTGAAGTTGTTATACGCTCTCCTCAGATCTCCAGAATAACTTTAAAATTTAATTAGTTCTAATCAGTTATACATGATAGTAGAAAGCTCTTCGATTCATTGTACACAAAAGGAGCAGAATTTTTTGCTTCTCTGGTTGTACATGAAGTAGAGTCACACCATTTGTGCAATCATACATTTACCTAGGGTAATGATGTCTGTCTCATTCCACCATCTTTCCTACCCCCTTACCCCTTCCCCCCTCGCCCCATCCAAAGTTCCTCCACTCATCCCTATCCTAGCCCCCCATTATGGATCAGTATCCACTTATCAGAGAGAACATTCAGCCTTTGATTTGGGGGGATTAGCTTACTTAGCTTAGCATGATGTTTTCCAGCTCCATCCATTTACCTGCAAATGCCATAATTTTATTCTCTTTTAATGCTGAGTAATATTCCATTGTGTATATGTACCACAGTTTCTTTATCCATTCATCTACTGAAGTTGCTTTTCCACAGTTTAGCAATTGTGAATTGTGCTTCTATAAACATTGATGTCTGCCTCACTATAGTACGCTGTTTTTAAGTCCTTTGGGTATAAACCAAAAAGTGGGATAGCTGGGTCAAATGGTGTCCAGAGTAACTCTTACAGATCTAAGAAGAGTTGTTGATTTTCATTTGTTTAGATTTTTATTTACTGTTACAATGGAATGAGGACTCTCAAGCTCCTATAAATGCCAGTTTGGAAACTGGAAGCCTTAATCAGATTTTTCCCCTCTTTGGTATGGATTTTTGAGCCCAGGGGTTCTTTACCACTGAACTGCATCCCATATGTTTTATTTTTTATTTTGAGATAGGATCTGTAAGCAAAATAACCAACACGGTTTTGGCACCATTATGAAAATACAAATAGCCAGGATGGAAAACCTCAAACAGATCAGCAGCTTCCCTTTATTCCACAGCAGAGTCAATCAGGTACTAAAAGGGGCTCATTTTCTGGGTACGAAAATGGCCTGCCAGTTACAGAAGGAATCTGAGTTTTATAGTTTACAATGAGAGTGGTTTAATCATTGGCAACTTCAGACATGTTGGTTTGGATAGTCAGGAAAGAAGTTTTAAGAAGTCTAGAACTCATCGTCACTGGGAAAAGCTCAGAACTTTTTTCACTGCTTATCTTCTATTTGCTTTTCTCCTTCCAGGACTCATCTGCAATGGGAAAGGGTAAAAGTCCAGGGCCGTGTTTCGATATCTGCCTCTTCCTTTCAGGAGCCATTGTGACTGGGAAGGGATGAATGTTTGCTTTTGGTGGAGATGCTGAAGATGAACCCAGGAAGGGATGAAAGTTTGCGTTTTCCCTGGGAGGTGAAGATTGTTAGTGGGAAAGGACTTACTGGGCGAGGTTTAATATTTGGCTAATTTCCCTCCCTCCTTCCAAGCCACACTGTCTTTCCGTTTTGCCCCCAGGACTGTTTTATAGGAATATTAATTTTTCATAACCCTTCAGGACCTCCCTAAATTGCTGAGGCTGGCCTTGAATTTATAATCTTCCTGCCTTGGCCTTGTCACTGGGATTAAAGGTGTGTGCCACTGTGCCCAGCTGGAAGTCTTAATTTTTTAAAGAGAGATTTTCTCTTCATTTCTCACAACAGGTTGAACATCTCTAATATGAAAATATGAAACATTCCAAAATGTAAAACTTTGAGGGTTGATATGACATATATTGAAAATTCCACGCTTGACCTCCTGCTAAAGGTTGTAGTCAAAACGCAGGTGCACTAAAAATACCATGTAGGGGCCAGGGGTGTAACTCAGTGGTAGAATCACTTGCCTAGCATGTTAAAGGTCCTGGGTTCAATCCCCAGCACTATTTTAAAAAAGAGAGAGAGAGAGAGAGAGTGTGTGTGTGTGTGTGTGTACACACACATATATGTGTGTGTACATATATACATGCATGTGTGTGTGCATATATAGTATAAAATTACCTTCCATCTGTGTATAAGGTGTATATGAAAAAAATTTTATATTTTAATCTGGACCCAATACCCAAGATATCTTATTACATCTATGTGAATATTCTAAAATTTAAAAATAACCCCAAATTTATAATACTTTTAGTCCCAAGCATTTTTTCTCTTTCCACATTATTTTATTGGTACATAATGGTTATACATAGTGATGGGATTTGTTTTTACATATTCATACATGCATACAATAGTACAATATTATTTGGCCAACCTCACTCCCCAGTAGTTCTCCTCTCCCTCCCCCCTTCCCAACTCCTGGTCCTTTACTGATCTCCCTTTGATTTCATGATATCTCTGCTCCCTGACCTTTGTTTTCCCCTCTAGCTTCCACATATGAGAGAAAACATACGACCCTTGACCTTCTGAGTTTGGCTTATTTTGCAAATGACATAATTTCATTTTTCTTTATGGCTGAATAGAACTCAATTGTATGTAAATGCCACATTTTCTTTATTCATTCATCTGTTGATGGACATGTAGAATGGTCCATAATTTAGCTGTTGTGCTGTCAGAAATATGCATGTATCACTATAGTATGATAACTTTAATTCTTTAGAATAAATACTGAGGAGTGGTATAGACACATTATATGGTAGTTCCATGCCTAGTCTTTTGAGGATCCTGTTTATTTCCATATTTGTTGTACTGATTTACAATCCCAACAATAGTGTAAAAATGTCCAACATCATTAGTAATTATGGAAATATAAATCAAAATTATACTGAGATTTCATGTAACTCTAATTAGAATGGAAGCCATTGAGAATACAAACAATAATAAATGCTGGAAAGGATTTGAACATTTTTTTTCATATTTCTTTTTAGCTGTTTGTATTTCTTCTTTGAGCAGTGTCTGTTTAATTCACATGCCCATTTATTAATTGGAAAATTTGGGGGTTTGGTGTGTGTTTGTTTTTTAGTTCTTTTTATATTCTGGGTATAATCCTCTGTCAGAAGAGTAGTTAGCAAAGGTTTTCTTCCATTCTGTGAGTTTACTTTTCATATTCCTAATTGTTTTCTTTGCTGTGTGGAAGCTTTTTAATTTGATACCATCCCATTTATGAATTGTTGGCAATTTGTCCTGAACTTTAGAGGTCCCATTGAGAAAGTCATTGCCTGTGCCTATGTGTTGGAGTGTTGGGTCTACATTTTTTTCTAGGAATTGCATATTTTCTGATCTGTTTCCTAGGTCTTTGATCCATTTTGAGTTGATTTTTGTGAGAGACAAGGGTCTAGTGTCATTTTTCTACATATGGATAACCAGTTTTCCCAGCACCATTTGTTAAAAAGGCGGTCTTTTTCTCCAATGTATGTTTTTGGCACCTTTCTCAAGGATCAGATGACTATATCTTTGTGAGTTTGTGTTTCTATCTTCTGTACACTGGTCTATGTGTCTGTTTTTATGCTAATACCATACAGTTTTTAATACTATAGTTCTGTAGTATAATTTGAAGTCAGGTTTTTTGATGCTTCAAACATTTTGGAAGAGGATGGGTTTGGCTTAGAATTGCTTTGGCTATTCTGGGCTCTTATTCTTCCAAATGAATTTTAGGACTGTTTTTTGTAGTTCTTTGAAGAATATCATTGGTATTTTGAATTTGTATACTGCTAACATTTAATTAAGAATTTTCATATCTGATAGGTCAGTGATAGAACACATATGTGTATCCAAGGCCCTGAGTTCAATCCTAAGCATCTCTATATAAATCATCAATGTCCTTAATACATTGAAAAAATTAGTCAGTGGTCAAGTATCCCCAATTGTGGTCTCTATATTTGTTCAAGATCAGGTAAAGTTTATACATTGGTTTAAAGAAAAGAATTTTTGCATTTGAGTTCATCAGGATATTGGACTAGAGTTGTCCTTCCTTGCTGTGTTCTCTGGTTTTGGTGTTTGATACTGACTTCAAAAAATGAACTTGGATGTGTTCCATCCCTTTCTATATCATGGAATAGCTTGAGGAATGTTACATTAATTCTTCTTTAAGCGTCTGGTAAATTTAGTTGAGAATCCATCTGGTCCTGGGCTTTTCTTTATTGTAAGACTTTATTACTGCTTCTATGTCATCACAAATTATTGGTCTGTTTAGCTTTTGTATGTCTTCTTGATTGAATTTTGGTAGATCATATTTGTCTAGAAATGTATCTGTTTCTTCTATATTTTCCAATTTATTGGAGTTAAGTTTTCAGATTGGTCCCTACTGATCCACTGGATTTCTGTGATGCCTGTAGTGATTTCTCCTTTTATTTCTCTAAATTTATTAATTTGGGTCTTCTCTCTTTTTCTTTTGATTAGTTTGGCTAGGACTTATCAATCTTGTCTATCTTTACAAAGAACCATTTCATTGATC